ATTTGGATGAAATTTTAGATCCAAGTTCAGACTTTCTGTTATTATGTTTAGTAACTATTGATCTTTTGTTATTTTTTGCCAATTTTTCAAGAATCTTGAAAGCTTTTACCCTAGTTGAGCCTTTCCAATCTGGTTCTTTTTCTTTTTCATTCTTCCTGATTCTGAATAGATCTTATAATGTTATAATTGGGAAGGTTTCTTGAACCTCTAGATTAACCAAATCTTCGACCTGTTTTATGATATGTTCTTGAGTAGAACCTGGCTTGTGAACCTCTGTTTCGTTCTAGATTTTGAGTTTGTATTTCAATCTTGCACTTATTTTCTGCTACTCTACTATTGTTTTTTGTGATTTTAGCCTCTTTATAAATGATTTCTCTAATCTCGAAACCAAATAACTAGCTATTGTCATCTTCGGCATCAATTGATTCACATATGTTGATGAGTTTCTTATTCTAGTTTGCTGATTTTGCAAGGTTTTGTCTTCTGTGAACTCCAACATATTTGGCTTCATGCTATAGTAAATAGATAGAATCCTCTATTCTACTGATCAACTTAACTCTTAATTCTTTGTTAATAAAATGATTTGGGATTTTTGACTCTTGAACCGTGTTCAAAAGGGCCTATCCTATTAATAATAGTCTTTCCATTAAAAAAAAACTTTTTTGATATGATTCTAATTCCTTATCATTTTTTTTAGCCTCTTGAAAAAAGATTTTTGCAAATTCTGGATCTATACTCTGTGGCTTTAAAGAACCTCTTTTCAGTTCTGAGTTTCTTGATAGAATATTTCTTATTGTCTTCTTTGACAAGAATACATCCAATCTATAGCTTCTAACAATTTTCTTTGCTAATATAGACAATTCTCACTTTCTTCTTTTTACATTTCTTTGTGTGAAATATAAAATCTCACTGGTTCTATCTCTCTTGTTTCTAATAGCTCTCTATCTTCTTTTTCAGTTTCTGAATCGCTTAGTTCTGAGACACCCTCCTGTCTCCAAGATAAAATTAAAACTAATTTTTCTAACTTGTCTTGTAGATACGTCTTCGATTTTTTCTTTTTTTGTTTCTTTAATTTTTGTCTTTTCTCAAGTTCTTCTACTATTAATAATAAGTGAAGAACAAATTACTTGCACCTTCTTGTTTAAATATATGTTTAGTCATTCCTTGTTTTACACCAAACTCTTGCCTAAAGTTAGACCAACTTGGGCTTGAAATAGCTAGAATAAAGGGTAGTAAAGCATTAAGCTTTTATAGTTAGTATCACATGATAATATATATATAAATATATATAGTATATAAAGATCTACAAATAAAGCCGACTTGGGCCAGAATGGTTACTAAACAGTATCTGACAGATGACTCCTAAACAGAGTTCTAATTTGGTTA